ATAACAAACAGTAACTGGACTTAGTGAATAACAAACAGTAACTGGACTTAGTGAATAACAAACAGTAACTGGACTTAGTGAATAACTAACAGTAACTGGACTTAGTGAATAACTAACAGTAACTGGACTTAGTGAATAACAAACAGTAACTGGACTTAGTGAAAACAAACAGTAACTGGACTTAGTGAATAACAAACAGTAACTGGACTTAGTGAATAACTAACAGTAACTGGACTTAGTGAATAACTAACAGTAACTGGACTTAGTGAATAACAAACAGTAACTGGACTTAGTGAATAACTAACAGTAACTGGACTTAGTGAATAACAAACAGTAACTGGACTTAGTGAATAACAAACAGTAACTGGACTTAGTGAATAACAAACAGTAACTGGACTTAGTGAATAACAAACAGTAACTGGACTTAGTAATAACAAACAGTAACTGGACTTAGTGAATAACAAACAGTAACTGGACTTAGTGAATAACTAACAGTAACTGGACTTAGTGAATAACTAACAGTAACTGGACTTAGTGAATAACTAACAGTAACTGGACTTAGTGAATAACAACAGTAACTGGACTTAGTGAATAACAAACAGTAACTGGACTTAGTGAATAAAACAGTAACTGGACTTAGTGAATAACAAACAGTAACTGGACTTAGTGAATAACAAACAGTAACTGGACTTAGTGAATAACAACAGTAACTGGACTTAGTGAATAACTAACAGTAACTGGACTTAGTGAATAACAAACAGTAACTGGACTTAGTAAATAACAAACAGTAACTGGACTTAGTGAATAACTAACAGTAACTGGACTTAGTGAATAACTAACAGTAACTGGACTTAGTGAATAACAAACAGTAACTGGACTTAGTGAATAACAAACAGTAACTGGACTTAGTGAATAACAAACAGTAACTGGACTTAGTGAATAAAACAGTAACTGGACTTGAATAACTAACAGTAACTGGACTTAGTGAATAACTAACAGTAACTGGACTTAGTAATAACTAACAGTAACTGGACTTAGTGAATAACAAACAGTAACTGGACTTAGTGAATAACAAACAGTAACTGGAGTAGAATAACTAACAGTAACTGGACTTAGTGAATAACTAACAGTAACTGGACTTAGTGAATAACTAACAGTAACTGGACTTAGTGAATAACAAACAGTAACTGGACTTAGTGAATAACTAACAGTAACTGGACTTAGTGAATAACTAACAGTAACTGGACTTAGTAAATAACAAACAGTAACTGGACTTAGTGAATAACAAACAGTAACTGGACTTAGTGAATAACAAACAGTAACTGGACTTAGTGAATAACAAACAGTAACTGGACTTAGTGAATAACAAACAGTAACTGGACTTAGTGAATAACAAACAGTAACTGGACTTAGTGAATAACAAACAGTAACTGGACTTAGTGAATAACTAACAGTAACTGGACTTAGTGAATAAAACAGTAACTGGACTTAGTGAATAACTAACAGTAACTGGACTTAGTGAATAACAAACAGTAACTGGACTTAGTGAATAACAAACAGTAACTGGACTTAGTGAATAACAAACAGTAACTGGACTTAGTGAATAACTAACAGTAACTGGACTTAGTGAATAACAAACAGTAACTGGACTTAGTGAATAACAAACAGTAACTGGACTTAGTGAATAACAAACAGTAACTGGACTTAGTGAATAACAAACAGTAACTGGACTTAGTGAATAACAAACAGTAACTGGACTTAGTGAATAACTAACAGTAACTGGACTTAGTGAATAACAACAGTAACTGGACTTAGTGAATAACTAACAGTAACTGGACTTAGTGAATAACAAACAGTAACTGGACTTAGTGAATAACAAACAGTAACTGGACTTAGTGAAAATAACAGTAACTGGACTTAGTGAATAAAACAGTAACTGGACTTAGTGAATAACTAACAGTAACTGGACTTAGTAAATAACAAACAGTAACTGGACTTAGTAAATAACAAACAGTAACTGGACTTAGTGAATAACAAACAGTAACTGGACTTAGTGAATAACTAACAGTAACTGGACTTAGTGAATAACAAACAGTAACTGGACTTAGTGAATAACTAACAGTAACTGGACTTAGTGAATAACAAACAGTAACTGGACTTAGTGAATAACTAACAGTAACTGGACTTAGTGAATAACAAACAGTAACTGGACTTAGTGAATAACAAACAGTAACTGGACTTAGTGAATAAAAACAGTAACTGGACTTAGTGAATAACAAACAGTAACTGGACTTAGTGAATAAAAACAGTAACTGGACTTAGTGAATAACTAACAGTAACTGGACTTAGTGAATAACAAACAGTAACTGGACTTAGTGAATAACAAACAGTAACTGGACTTAGTGAATAACTAACAGTAACTGGACTTAGTGAATAAAACAGTAACTGGACTTAGTGAATAACAAACAGTAACTGGACTTAGTGAATAACAAACAGTAACTGGACTTAGTGAATAACAAACAGTAACTGGACTTAGTGAATAACTAACAGTAACTGGACTTAGTGAATAACAAACAGTAACTGGACTTAGTGAATAACTAACAGTAACTGGACTTAGTGAATAACTAACAGTAACTGGACTTAGTGAATAACTAACAGTAACTGGACTTAGTGAATAACAAACAGTAACTGGACTTAGTGAATAACTAACAGTAACTGGACTTAGTGAATAACTAACAGTAACTGGACTTAGTGAATAACTAACAGTAACTGGACTTAGTGAATAACAAACAGTAACTGGACTTAGTGAATAACTAACAGTAACTGGACTTAGTGAATAACAAACAGTAACTGGACTTAGTGAATAACTAACAGTAACTGGACTTAGTGAATAACTAACAGTAACTGGACTTAGTGAATAACAAACAGTAACTGGACTTAGTGAATAACTAACAGTAACTGGACTTAGTGAATAAAACAGTAACTGGACTTAGTGAATAACTAACAGTAACTGGACTTAGTGAATAACAAACAGTAACTGGACTTAGTGAATAACTAACAGTAACTGGACTTAGTGAATAACTAACAGTAACTGGACTTAGTGAATAACAACAGTAACTGGACTTAGTGAATAACTAACAGTAACTGGACTTAGTGAATAACAAACAGTAACTGGACTTAGTGAATAACTAACAGTAACTGGACTTAGTGAATAACAAACAGTAACTGGACTTAGTGAATAACTAACAGTAACTGGACTTAGAATAACTAACAGTAACTGGACTTAGTGAATAACAAACAGTAACTGGACTTAGTGCATAACTAACAGTAACTGGACTTACTTAGTGAATAACTAACAGTAACTGGACTTAGTGAATAACTAACAGTAACTGGACTTAGTGAATAACTAACAGTAACTGGACTTAGTGAATAACTAACAGTAACTGGACTTAGTGAATAACAAACAGTAACTGGACTTAGTGAATAACTAACAGTAACTGGACTTAGTGAATAACTAACAGTAACTGGACTTAGTGAATAACTAACAGTAACTGGACTTAGTGAATAACTAACAGTAACTGGACTTAGTGAATAACTAACAGTAACTGGACTTAGTGAATAACTAACAGTAACTGGACTTAGTGAATAACAAACAGTAACTGGACTTAGTGAATAACTAACAGTAACTGGACTTAGTGAATAACAAACAGTAACTGGACTTAGTGAATAACTAACAGTAACTGGACTTAGTGAATAACAAACAGTAACTGGACTTAGTGAATAACTAACAGTAACTGGACTTAGTGAATAACTAACAGTAACTGGACTTAGTGAATAACTAACAGTAACTGGACTTAGTGAATAACTAACAGTAACTGGACTTAGTAAATAACTAACAGTAACTGGACTTAGTGAATAACTAACAGTAACTGGACTTAGTAAATAACTAACAGTAACTGGACTTAGTGAATAACTAACAGTAACTGGACTTAGTGAATAACTAACAGTAACTGGACTTAGTGAATAACTAACAGTAACTGGACTTAGTGAATAACAAACAGTAACTGGACTTAGTGAATAACTAACAGTAACTGGACTTAGTGAATAACTAAACAGTAACTGGACTTAGTGAATAACTAACAGTAACTGGACTTAGTGAATAACTAACAGTAACTGGACTCGCCAAAATCGACAGCAAAAAACTCTGTTTACTGAAATGACACGTAAATCCAGTGCGCAACAGCGCATTGCGCAACACTTTACTCGCTGTCGTCCACGATAACGTCCACCTTTCCAGATGTTTGGTTAGCATTGAGGAACACCAACGCATCGACATGTGAGGGAAGGAGGCTTGACCGCTTTCGAGTGACAGCGTTGCCTGCCAGGGAAAAAACCCTCTCACTCGGGGTGGCTGGAATAGCTCCTCGAAAGCTTGGCTAAACGGGGGACGCGGTGCACGTTTTCTGCCCACCACTCCAGTGGGTTATCCATTGTGGGGATATGCGGTGTCCGCTGGCAGTAAACCCTAGCTCATCATCCGCATCACTGTAGACCCGTTTTTTCTTGCTGCTCGTCTGCCTCTGTCCTGTGCTGACGCCGGTCCGTTGCTCACTGGTGCTAGCATTACTGCTAGGGCTAGCTGTCGGCAGCGGGTGTCTCATCTTCAGATGGTTGCGCCTAGCAGATGTATTTTTGTTGTACTTCAGTACAGCTGTACACAACTGACACTTCACTGTGGAGTTGGTTACATCTTTGTTGAAGTACTGCCATACATAAGAATGTCGGACGTGTTTTGAAGCATTTTGCAGCACCTCGTTTACCTCCATTTTTTTCACGACTAGTTGACTAGGGCCTACAGCGCCGACTAGTGGTAAAGGTAGTCGACTAGTCGATTAGTTGGTGAAACCCCTAATACACACACACACACACTAGGCTCTGACAGGGTGAGACATACACACTGACAGTTACACACACATTTACACACACACATTCACATTTACACACACACATTCACATTCACTCACACTGGGCCCAGCCAGGGTGAGACACACACACACTTAAACACTGAGTGTGTGTGTGCAGGTGCGGGACCTGTTCGTGATGGCCAGGAAGAACGCGCCCTGCATCCTCTTCATCGACGAGATTGACGCCGTCGGGCGGAAACGAGGAAGAGGAAGCTTTGGAGGACAGAGTGAGCAGGAAAACACTCTCAACCAGCTGCTGGTGGAGATGGACGGTGAGATGCCCTGATGCATCATGAGAAACATCTGGGGGAGATCTCACTCCTCTCTGTATCTCAGGAGATCTCACTCCTCTCTGTATCTCAGGAGGTCTCACTCCTCTCTTTATCACTCCTCTCAGGAGGTCTCACTCCTCTCTGTATCTCACTCCTCTCTGGAGGTCTCACTCCTCTCTGTATCTCTCACTCCTCTCTGTATCTCACTCCTCTCTGAAGGTCTCACTCCTTTCTGGAGGTCTCACTCCTCTCTGGGGGTCTCACTCCTCTCTGTATCTCACTCCTCTCTGGAGGTCTCACTCCTCTCACTCCTCTCTGGAGGTCTCATTCTTCTCTAGAGGTCTCACTCCTCTCTGGAGGTTTCACTCCTCTCTAGAGGTCTCACTCCTCTCTGGAGGTCTCACTCCTCTTTGGAGGTCTCACTCCTCTCTATAGCTCACTCCTCTCACTACTCTCTGTATCTCACTCCTATCACTCCTCTCTGGAGGTCTCACTCCTCTCTGGATGTCTCACTCCTCTGTGTATCTCACTCCTCTCTGTATATCACTCTTCTCTGGAGGTCTCACTCCTCTCTGGAGGTCTCACTCCTCTCACTCCTCTCTGTATCTCACTCCTCTCTGGAGGTCTCACTCCTCTCTTTATCTCACTCCTCTCACTCCTCTCTGTATCTCACTCCTCTCACTCCTCTCTGGAGGTCTCACTCCTCTCACTCCTCTCTGTATCTCACTCCTCTCTGGAGGTCTCACTCCTCTCACTCCTCTCTGTATCTCACTCCTCTCTGGAGGTCTCACTCCTCTCACTCCTCTCTGTATCTCACTCCTCTCTGGAGGTCTCACTCATCTCACTCCTCTCTGTATCTCGCTCCTCTCTGGAGGTCTCACTCCTCTCAATCCTCTCTGGAGGTCTCACTCCTCTCTGTATCTCACTCCTCTCAATCCTCTCTGTATCTCACTCCTCTCACTACTCTCTGTATCTCACTCCTCTCACTACTCTCTGTATCTCAGGGTTCAACACCTCCACTAACGTGGTCGTTCTAGCCGGTACGAACAGGCCGGACATCCTGGACCCGGCACTGATGAGGCCCGGCCGCTTCGACCGGCAGATCTACATCGGTGAGGAGTAGGAGGAGGCAGAGGGAGAGGAGGAGGGGAGGGCGAGAGGGAGGAAGAGGAGGAGGAAGGAGGAGAGGGATTAGAAACATAGTTATACAAGGGTGTGGTTATTTTATCTGTTTAACTCCAACAACAATAACGTGTGTGTGTGTGTGTGTGTGTGTGTGTGTGGTGTGTGTGTGTGTGTGTGTGTGTGTGTGTGTGAGTGTGTGTGTGTGTGTGTGGTGTGTGTGTGTGTGTGTGTGTGTGTGTGTGTGTGGTGTGTTGTGTGTGTGTGTGTGTGTGTGTGTGTGTGTGTGTGTGTGTGTGTGTCAGGTCATCCCGACATTAAAGGCCGGGCGTCGATCTTTAAGGTCCACCTGCGTCCACTGAAGCTGCAGCTGGACCTGGACCGAGAGGCGCTGGCTAGAAAGATGGCCGCCCTCACACCTGGCTTCTCAGGTAAGCCTTCATTAGTGTGTGTGTGTGTGTCTGTCTGTGTTGAGGTGTTTCCATCCTCTCACTGGAGCTCAGATCTGTACAGAATAGTTGTGTATTAAATATATTATAATATTTAATAATGCACATGTAATATAAAGAACAGGGGACCGGTACACTGCCCTGTGGAACTCCAGCTCCCATGATGCTTCACTCTGAATGCGTCACATAATTAAACCCATGTAAATAAACCAGGCCATTCATCAGTAATTCATCTGTGTGTATGTGTGTCTCTTCTCTGTCTCGCAGGCGCAGACATCGCTAACGTGTGCAACGAGGCGGCGCTGATCGCTGCTCGCCACCTGGCGGATGCCATCAACGAGAAGCACTTTGAGCAGGCGATCGAGAGAGTGATCGGGGGTGAGACGTCACATCATCATTAATAATACACTGATAATATCCTGCTGCTTCCTCTGACTGTGTGTGTGTGTGTGTGTGTGTGTGTGTGTGTGTGTGTGTGTGTGTGTGTGGTGTGTGTGTGTGTGTGTGGTGTGTGTGTGTGTGTGTGTGTGTGTGTTGTGTGTGTGTGTGTGGTGTGTGTGTGTGTGTGTGTGTGTGTGTGTGTGTGTGTGTGTGTGTGTGTGTGTGTGTGTGTGTGTGTGTGTGTGTAGGTCTGGAGAAGAAGACCCAGGTGCTGCAGCCGGAGGAGAAGAAGACAGTGGCCTATCACGAGGCGGGACACGCTGTCGCCGGGTGGTTCCTGGAGCACGCCGACCCTCTCATCAAGGTCACTTCCTGTCCCACTGTCTCACTTCCTGTCTCACTTCTTGCAGTGGAGAGATTTCAATGATGGTGGCCATGTCTCTGTCCTCTTGCCTTCGACTCCTAACCCCCTAACCCCCTAACCCCCTAACCCCCCCCCCACTCTTCCAACTAGCTCAGCACTTTTTACTTGTGTTCTTATGTTCTTCTTGACTTGCTTGTGAAGCGCTTCAGCACCAGGAAAAGCCCTACAGTGTAGTGTGTGCAATCGCGAAGGTTCAATAGGGGAAGTGCATTATGTGTGAATAGGTATGGACGCAATAGGGTTATGTGCAATTTGACGGACACTATGCATAGGTGCTGTACCTGTGTGTTGTCTCTTTGCTGTGTCTGCTCTGTGACTGATTGACCTGAATGTTTTATGCGTATTATCTCGTTGCCCAAGACACATTTCTGCTGAGGGAGACAATAAAGCTTTATCTTATCTTATATAAATAACATGTATTATGATTGACGGCTTTATGTCCCGCCCCCAGGTGTCCATCATCCCTCGGGGGAGGGGCCTGGGCTATGCTCAGTACCTGCCCAGAGAGCAGTACCTGTACACCGCGGAGCAGCTGATGGACAGGATGTGCATGTCCCTGGGAGGAAGAGTCGCTGAGGAGCTCTTCTTCAAACGCATCACAACGGGAGCTCAGGACGACCTGAGGAAGGTCACTCAGAGCGCCTACGCTCAGGTACACACACACACACACACACACACACAGCGCCTACGCTCAGGTACACACACACACACACACACACACAGCGCCTACGCTCAGGTACACACACACACACACACACACACACAGCGCCTACGCTCAGGTACACACACACACACACACACACACAGCGCCTACGCTCAGGTACACACACACACACACACACACAGCGCCTACGCTCAGGTACACACACACACACACACACACACACAGCGCCTACGCTCAGGTACACACACACACACACACACACACAGCGCCTACGCTCAGGTACACACACCACACACACACACACACAGCGCCTACGCTCAGGTACACACACACACACACACACACCAGCGCCTACGCTCAGGTACACACACACACACACACACACACAGCGCCTACGCTCAGGTACACACACACACACAGCGCCTACGCTCAGGTACACACACACACACAGCGCCTACGCTCAGGTACACACACACACACACACACACACACAGCGCCTACGCTCAGGCACACACACACACACACACACACACAGCGCCTACGCTCAGATACACACACACACACACACACACAGCGCCTACGCTCAGGTACACACACACACAAGCGCCTACGCTCAGGTACACACACACACAGCGCCTACGCTAAGGTACACACACACACAGCGCCTACGCTCAGGTACACACACACACAGCGCCTACGCTCAGGTACACACACACACACACACACACAGCGCCTACGCTCAGATACACACACACACACACACACAGCGCCTACGCTCAGGTACACACACACACAGCGCCTACGCTCAGGTACACACACACACACACACACAGCGCCTACGCTCAGGTACACACACACACACACACACAGCGCCTACGCTCAGGTACACACACACACACACACACACACACAGTGCCTACGCTCAGGTACACACACACACACACACAGCACCTACGCTCAGGTACACACACACACACACACACACACAGCACCTATGCTCAGGTACACACACACACACACACAGCACCTACGCTCAGGTACACACACACACACACACACACACACAGCACCTACGCTCAGGTACACACACACACACACACACACACACACACACACACAGCACCTACGCTCAGGTACACACACACCTCCACCATTTTTTAAGACATTTTGAACCGATTTAAAAATTCCTGAATTAAGTGTGTGTGTCTCTCTGTGTGTGTGTGTGTGTGTGTCTGTGTCTGTGTGTGTCTCTGTGTGTCTCTCTGTGTGTGTCTCTGTGTGTCTCTGTGTGTCTCAGATTGTGCAGTTTGGGATGAACTCTAAGGTGGGCCAGGTGTCCTTCGACCTCCCGCGGCAGGGAGAGATGGTTCTGGAGAAGCCGTACAGCGAGGCCACGGCGCGGCTGATCGACAGCGAGGTGCGCGCTCTGATCAGCACGGCCCACCTGAGGACCCTCAGCCTGCTGGAGGGGAGGCGGGGGGAGGTGGAGAAGGTACTGTGTGTGTGTGACCCTACCTGCAGTGTGTGTGTGTGTGTGTGTGTGTGGTGTGTTTGATGTGTGGTGTGTTGTGGTGTGTGTGTCGTGTGTGTGTGTGTGTGTGTGTGTGTGTGTGTGTGTGTGTGTGTGTGTGTGTGTGTGTGTGTGTGTGTGTGTGTGTGTGTGTGTGTGTGTGTGTGTGTGTGTGTGTGTGTGTGTGTGTGTGTGTGTGTGTACATTACATATACACATATACTTTCAGACCTCCAGACCAAAGTGCTGTAGAGTCAAACAGAAACCCCTCAGCTCACACACCCTGAGACAATACAGGCTGCACATCGTCCCTCACACACACACACACACACACACACACACACACACACACACACACACACACACACACACACACACACACACACACACACATATATACAGTGTGTATGTGTTTGTATTTATCTGTAGTCTGCCTCAGTGTAACTCCCCCCCCCTCCACCAGGTGGCACTGATGCTGCTGGTGGAGGGGGTCTGTTAGTTGTATATAGTGTATATGTATACACATATATAAACAGTGTGTATATATATGTGTAGTTTGCCTCAGTGTAACTTCCCCCCCCCCTCCACCAGGTGGCGCTGATGCTGCTGGAGAAGGAGGTTATAGATAAGAGCGACATGGTGGAGCTGCTGGGGAAACGGCCGTTCTCCGAGAAGTCGACGTACGAGGAATTTGTGGAGGGGACAGGGGGGGAGGAGGAGGACACCTCGCTGCCCCCAGGCCTGAAGGACTGGAACCGGGAGAGGGGAGGCGAGGAGGAGAGCCCCGAGGACCAGGTGGCCCGCAAGATCTCAGGGGGGATGCCCTTCTGAGGACAGGAAGTGGAGGAGAGCAGCTTCCTGTCTGAGTCTCACACACAGAGGGATGCCCTTCTGAAGACAGGGAGACAGACAGGAGACAGGAAGACACAGAGAGACTCAGACAGGAAGCTGCTGTGCTCCACTTCCTGTCAGAGAGACTCATGTGAATATGTGAAACGCTGAGTGAGAGACATGAATAAAGCTGAGAACCACAGACTCTGAGGAACCTGTTCATACTGGATCTCATTTCAAACCAACCAATCGCAGTCCTTCATTCAGCTGCCTATGTTCTTAAAGAGGCCCTACTCGCTTCCCTGTAGTTCTATTGGTTTTTCCGTAGTGACATCACTATGGAACACTTGAGCTCCTATTGGCTAGCGCTCCAACACATTGTGCGGGATAGGCTAATAAGGGGAGGGACATCTCTCAGTGGTTGACCAATCACAACAGAGCTGCAGTTCACTGTGTGTCTCTATGGTGGTACAGAGACACAGTGATGTTAACGTGTAATCAATGAATACCGTGTGTATGTGTGTGATCAATAATCAGTGATTAAAAACTTTATTTAAAACAATGGCTCTCTTAATTACAGCTGATCCTTTAACTCTTTCATTCATTGTTAAATATGTTGTTGTTGATGTATTCATCTAAAATGTGGTCCACGGACCACTGGTGGTCCGTGAGCGCCCCCTAGTGGTTTGTGAGTATATTGGTAACATTTCACATTTGAAATAAATAAATGTAAGTTTTCCGCACTCTCGCGGGAATATCTCCGCAATGGAGCGAGCTTAAGTTTCACTTTCTATTGCATGATATAGCCCAGGGCAACACCTTCGTCACACATGTTGCCACCTGTTTGTACCATTTTCAGGCAATTTGTAACCTCTTATAGAAAAACTATGTGTTTTGGGATATTTGTGGAGTTAGGTGGTCCGCGAGTGTTTTTTTATTGGTTAAGTGGTCCTTGGTATGAAAACGTTTGAGAAACACTGATCTAATCGATATTCCAACCCAGTCTCACATCTAAACGTGTAATAACTACGTTGGTCCACAACGTAGGACGTAGTATTTCTACCAAAAGGCCTCTGAAATTGTAAGATCCCTACGTTTTTGTTCACCATTCATTCCAATGGCTGGCGTCTATGTCACGTGATCTTCAACTTTCTCCTTGCAGAAAAAAAAAACATGGCCGAACTTCGTTTTATTCTCAGTGTAAAATGCCTATTTTAAAGTTAGTTTGGCCATTAAAATGCGTTTTGATGTCATTTGATGCGAGAAATGTGAGTTGTTATTTCAGATGATGTGTGCAGTGGATGTACATGATCTTTAGTTTGCTAGTTATTACGAAGATTACTTCAGGAAATTGTGTCTATACAACGTTTTCATTGTTACCAAGGTGGTTGCTAGGGATGCTGCTATCGATATTATTTCTGTTATGTTGTGTAACAGTTTAATGGTGTAATCTTTATTGCTACCCCCTTCCCCATCAATGTATAGTGTTGGTCCACAGCGCAAACGTATTAGTTTAACAAAATCCGCATCTAAAATTGTGGCATAGATACGTTATTTTCCCCTGTGCAATTCTCCATTTACTCAACAATAACACATACTTATCCTTGTGTTTATGTATTTGTTTGATTAATAAACACAAGTTGGAGTCCGTCAGGACCGAGTGTCGGAGCAGCTCATTTGCTTTACAGAATATTACACCGGGAAGTAAGTATTCTCTCCGCTTCGCTTGACAAACCCCGTGATAGTCCTCAAGCTCTATGATCGGAGAGTGTGCAGAGCGTCGAACAGCACTTGAAATGGGATGGAACCACGGGAGACTATCTAAAACTGGATTTGAACGGGTCCACCGCGTCCCCCCCGCCCCCCAGGTTGGGAACCACTGCTCTATGGCACTCCTCTACTGGGAGTTGTAGTTTTAAAAGACGTTTTCGTATTTCCATAGTAAGAAGTTGCCAGTATTAAACTGTGTACATCCCTGGAGGTTTAGGGGATAGGAAACACTCACATTTAAAACATATAATTAATAAATGGGTGAAAATTGCTTGTGCCCATAATGGGCAGCATTAATATATACCCACTTCACAGCTAAGGTCAGAAGAGCTTTATTTAACAGCTGGTATTATGTCTGTGACCCCTCCTGTTGTTCATTGATAAGCCTGAAACATGCACTTGTCAAGGTTCAGAGGCACATTTTGCAAATATGGCAGTAGCCATCGATCATCTTAAGATAAGATACTTTATTGATCCCAAGTTGGAAACATTTGCGTTACATCAGCATGTGTAACAGTTGTAAATATGCAGTGGTGTTTATTTGTAAATCATTTAGTATAATCACACAAATTCTGTGTTTTATATTTAATAATTCTGTGTTCTTTATTTATTGATTGTTCAATACCTGACAAGGCCGGAGATGAAAAACTTGGGTCGCAGGTTCCTCAACAGTACATTACAAGACATCTATCAATATGTGTGTATACCTCCACCATTAAACTGTCGTATTCTGCACATTTCTTATACTATCTACATACATCTTATATAAGAGTATAATACATATGTATAATATCAGTTAAAATAAGTGCTTCAACATAGTTAACATTGCTGGAGGTATACACAAAGTTTTTCATTCATTGCATAACTACACCATTTCAATCAATCAATCAATGTTTATTTATAGCCCAATATCACCAATGTTACATTTGTCTCAATGGACTTCACAGTTTGTACGGAATATCAGTATGACAATACGACACCCTCTGTCCTTAGACCCTCTGTCCTCAGACCCTCTGTCCTCAGACCCTCTGTCCTTAGACCCTCTGTCCTCAGACCCTCTGTCCTCAGACCCTCTGCCCTTAGACCCTCTGTCCTTAGAGCCTCTGTCCTCAGACCCTCTGTCCTTAGACCCTCTGTCCTTAGACCCTCTGTCCTCAGACCCTCTATCCTCAGACCCTCTGTCCTCAGACCCTCTGCCCTTAGACCCTCTGTCCTTAGACCCTCTGCCCTTAGACCCTCTGTCCTTAGACCCTCTGTCCTCAGACCCTCTGTCCTCAGACCCTCTGTCCTCAGACCCTCTATCCTTAGACCCTCACATCATACAAGGAAAAACTTCCAGAGAAAACCCACAGTTTAAGGGAACAGAGGAGGGATCCCTCTCCCAGGACGGACAGACGTGCAATAGATGCCGTGTGTACATTGAAAAGATAATACATTTGCAACATAGGTAGTCCAAATGTTTGGAAATGCATGTGTGTATAATAGGAAGATGAATCCACGAGGATATCCATCCAGGACCTATGATCCAGGACCACAGCCACGACTCGCGATCCAGGGCTCGCGATCCAGGACAGAGGAGCGCAGGATCATCCATGACTCCGGATCCCGGCGTATACAGACACCAAAAAGAAAGACATTTGGGGAAGCTGGGTTAATGGGAACATGAGAGTACACAGGTATAGACAGAGAGAAGGAAGAAGTAAGATGTCCCCCGACAAACTAAGCCTATATCAGCAAAACTAGGGGCTGAATCTAATCAGCCCTAACAATAAGCTTTATCAAAAAGGAAGGTCTTAAGCGCACTCTTAAAAACGGATAGGGTGTCTGCCGCCCGAACACAAACTGGAAGCTGATTCCACAAATGTGGAGCTTGATAAGAAAAGGCTCTGGCTCCACATTGTACTTTTAGAGACTCTAGGAACAACCAACAACCCTGCATTCTTGGAACGCAATGCCCTAGTAGGACAGTAGGGTATAATGAGTTCTTTAAGGTAAGATGGCGCCTGCCCATTAAGGGCTTTGTAGGCGAGAAGAAGAATTTTAAATTCTATCCTGTGTTCTATAGGGAGCCAGTGTAAGGCAGCCAGAACAGGAGTAATGTGGTCCCTTTTCCTAACTCTGGTTAGTACACGAGCTGCAGCATTTTGAATCAGCTGAAGCCACTTGACTGACTTCTTGGTACACCCTGATAATAAAGAGTTACAATAATCCAGCCTTGAAGTAACAAATGCATGGACTAGTTTCTCTGCATCGTTTTGAGGCAAGATATGCCTGATTTTTGCAATGTTACGTAGATGGAAGTAGGCGGTCCTTGAAATTGATTTTATGTGGGCGTTAAAGGATAAATCCTGATCAAATATAACACCAAGATTCCTTACAGTCTCACTGGATGAGACATATCATATACACATAGTTGTGTATATGATATGTCAATAAACCTTAGAAAATCTTGAAATCTTGAAAGGGATGTGCAAACTTGTCATTATATACAGTCTTTAATTAACTATTAGTAGAGAATAACGAGTAATGAATATACTTTATAGGGATCCTATTAATATCTAATAATAAAAATAATGAAATTCAATAACATGCTTTAACCACTAGGTGTCCCTTTATATCAGCTGTGCACCTTTATGGTGTAAATACAGCCTATCTACCAATTGGATCAAATATAAAAGTCAGCCGAATTAGTGTTGATACTGCAAGGAGACGTATTGTGTGAAAAAGAAATGTAAGATGTTGTTTAATGGCTGATATATTTATGATCCACGTCACGTTTTCAGTTCCTCATGTTTGTCTAGAAGTCTTCTCATCAGGGCTCTATAAATACAGAACTACGGCAGATATGTAATATTTAATGCAGCCGAACCGTGTGTTACAATGCCGTTATGTGATGACTTCCAAAGAGAAAAGCAAGCACACTCGGAATAAAGTGTTTTCGGTCTGTTTCCGGTATTTGTTAATGACGATGTGCTGTGAGATGTGAGACTGGAATTGCACAGGGGAAAATAACGTATCTTTAGATGCGGATTTTGTTAAACAAATACGTTTGCGCTGTGGACCAACACTATACATTGACGGGGAAGGGGGTAGCAATAAAGATAACACCATTAAACAGTTACACAACATAACAGAAATAATATCGATAGCAGCGTCCCTAGCAACCACCTTGGTGACAATGAAAACGTTGTATAGACACAATTTCCTGAAGTAATCTTCGTAATAACTAGCAAACTAAAGATCATGTACATCCACTGCACACATCATCTGAAATAACAACTCACATTTCTCGCATCAAATGACATCAAAACGCATTTTAATGGCCAAACTAACTTTAAAATAGGCATTTTCCACCGAGAATAAAACGAAGTTCGGCCATGTTTTTTTTTCTGCAGGGAGAAAGTTGAAGATCACGTGACATAGACGCCAGCCATTGGAATGAATGGTGAACAAAAACGTAGGGATCTTACAATTTCAGAGGCGTTTTGGTAGAAATACTACGTCCTACGGTGTAGACCAGGGGTAGGCAAGTAAGTTTGGTCTTGGGCCAATTTTTTGCTGAGCCGCAAGATGGCGGGCCAGAACATAATCAAAGCCTAATTCAAGGAATTTATTTTGGTAAGAGGGCGCAGCGCCCCTGTTCCCCGGTTCAGGAAAAACTCTGATATCGCTGATAACCCTCCTCATCAACACTCTGATGCGCAGTCAGATCCGCTGATTGGTTCACTGATGATATAGGCGCCCAATCCAGAGCCTGTGGCTAGACCCGCCCAAAGTGAGGCTCGTCCT